CGCGACTGGGATGGGGCCCGGGCCCGCCGCGGCCACCCCTCCACCTTGCAAGCGCGGCGCGGCGCGGCGGGGCGCGGCGGGGCGCAGTGGCCCCCCTCTTTTGTAGCCGCAGCCCCATTCGGTCCCTCCGGAAAGGGGGGCCGGGCTGAGGGGCCGCGGGGCCCGAGGGGACGCGTTTTGGGGAATAGGGGGCAGGGCCGGCAGGGCCGGCAGGGGGTGCCCAATGTAGGTGTGTTCGGGGCAGGGCTCCGGGTCGCCGCGAAGTAGGGGGCTAAGACGGGGGACGGGGGCAGGAACGGGCTTGGGGGGTGGCAGAATCAAATGCCTTCATGAAAATAATCCAGCAATTTATCGGTGGTGGTTCGGTTCCCCCGTGCAGGTCTTTCTAAAACCTAAAATCGTCGAATCAATGTCGAAGTCGTTTTTATTTTGGCTGGGTCACGCAAGTCCAGTTGGAAAGGGCAAAAGGGTAGCCAGCCAGCCGGTAATGCGCTACTCTGCAGGCTTCCCTTGGTTCGATGGTTTGCAACCATCGTAAACATGCCACTGGCCTTCGACCGGGTTCCCAGGCGAGGCTGCTCGCCGCCTACAAGCAGTGCCGCTCGCAGATGGCCGGACCAGACAGCGCGGCCGGATTGGCTAGCATGGCTAGCAGTGGCGCGCCCGTCCGATACTCCGCGGGAGATTCGAATCGGAAAACGGAGATTCCATTCCAGCGAGTCAAATGTCGAGAGCAGACATGTGTGCGCACACCCCCATGCAGGCGAGCGGTACTCGGCGCAGTTTCGCGTTCCCTTCGCTTTATTTCGCGTCGAGCCCTGCCTCGGTGTGAAATCCAGAATCGAGAATCCAGGGCACTAGGCCAGCGGGGGGCCGGCGAAGCGGCGCAGCGGCGCGGTAGGGGCCGTAGGTACCCGGCGGCTGGCGCAGTGGTGCCAGAGGGTACCGTCGGGTACCGGAGGACGTGCCACAGTGCTACAGTAGACCGGGAGGCGGGCGAGGCGGGCGAGGCGGGCCGGGGCTGAGGGACCAGCGCGGCACATCCGATGCAGTACCAGCATACCGAAACGACGAGAAAAAAAGAGATGCCGACGCACGGTAAAAGCCTTACGGAGCAGCCTGGAAAAAGGAAACAAAACTTACTTGTTGAAAACACTTTTTCGAGCCCGAACGATGAGCTTAATTAAGTGACCTTCGAACTAGACTGCTCGCCCCGCGCACAACTTTCAAACGCCCCAGCGCACACCATTGGCAGCGCTTCCCCTCGATTCGCTGGCAATCCACGCTCAATTTATGAACACAATTCGTGCTCGTGTAGCAGCAAGTTCCCTGCTGGCCGTAGATAGATAGAGGGAGCGGCGCTGTCGCTCGAGGGCTCTGGCATCAGACGGCGGCCCCTGGGGGAGGGGGAAGGGGGCTGCCCCTTGGTTCCGGACCGGCAGGGGGGGCTGAGCCGGGGCTGCCCGCAGCCCAGGGCGGCCCAGGGCCCAGTTCGAGCCTGGAGCCCTCTGCGCGCCTTGCAAGCCCTTAGGCAGGCTATCGATCAGCGAGGCTGCGCCATCGGCCGCCGTGGACTGGGCCATGGGCCATGGGCCCCGCAGTGGGTGCGACCAGCAACAGGCCGACCAACAGGCTACCATGGGCCTGGTACTGCTTGGAGCACCACCGAGAACGCGGTGCGTGGCCTCGCTACGCCGGTGCCGCCGGCCAGACCGAGGACACCGTTGGCGCTCATCACCACCAGCCAGCAAGGCGGAATAGCCCGTAACCACCAGGACCACCGGACCGCGGGGAGCAGCAGCGCATTCCAGCCGCAATCAAACTGAGGAGCCCAGCGAGACCGTCGTCAAGTCCAACAGGCCGCCGACGGGCACCCTCGCGCGTCCGGGCGGCCCGGGCCCGGGGCCCTTCGCCCTGCGCGCCCTCAACCCTGACCTTGCGGGGCCGAGGACGCCGAGGGCCGAGGCACGGCCGAGGGCGGCTGCACCGTAACCCGACACAACGAACCGCGCCGCGCCGCCCCACCCCCGGACGCCGCCCCGCCCCACCCCACCATCGGGCTCACGCAGGGCGACGCGGGGCGACGCGGGGCGACGTAGGGTGGCGCGGGGCCTAACTCCCGCAGACGTCAGCTCCGTGTAATGCCTCCGCTTCAGCAGCCGTGGGGGCAGCAGGCAGCCGTCCAGGAAGGACGGCGGCTCTGAAGGCCCGCGCGCCCGCGCCCAAACTAACCCCCTCCCCTCCCCTCCCCCTCCCCTCCCCTCGCCTGGCGTTGCCTGGCCTCGAAACCCGAGCGCGGTCTCTGGAATAACAAAAACCCGTCGGCTCTACCGCGATTAGAGGCTCGGCTGCCTAATCCACCTGCAGCCGCGCTGTCCGAATCCGTTTAAATCCGGGGGCCCGGCCCGGCCAGGGCGGAAACACAAACAAACACGACAGAAGCGTGTCGTCTTCGAGCGGGTAAGACGAGAAAGATGATGACGGATAGGGTGCCGTCGGGATTCAAGCCCGTCCCTGACTGCAAAAAAAAGAAACTAATCAACTTTTCTTTTTCTTCATTTTTTTCAATTTTTTGAAAACATTTATAACTGCGACGTGGAACAGAGCCAGTTGGTTTGCCCGGTGGGGTGCTGGGGCAGGACAGTAGTGCAGTGATTGCGTGCGCCTTGCTGCACTCTTTCCGGCGACCTTTTGTCCGAGCAACAGCGCGTCGCGCAGTCCGGTGCCGTCCGGTGCTGTCCGGTGCCGTCCGGTGCCGTCCGGTGCGCAGCCTTAGCCGCGCCGATTTCGTGCCGGACGCTAAGCCGAGCCGTAAGCCAGGACTGCGACGGCGGCGGAACGGAGCAATTCGACGAGAGGCAGGCCAGGCCCAGCCAGGCCGGCTCCAAACGAGTGCTCTCCGTCTCTCTCGCACTCGCGGGGCGTACCGGTGCGGTGCGAGAGAGACGGAGACTGCTCGCAATCAGCCCGCCCCCTACTGATCGACCTCGACTCGCGGTCTCGCCCCGCTCTGCTCGCTCGCACTCGACGAGAAAGGCAAGGACAGGCACTGCGATGTTGCGCGCAGATTTCGGGGAAACGGTTTTCTCGCTTACTTGTTACGCAAGCGGTACCGCGAGTCGCTCATGCAGCCAAAGTGCTACAGTGGAGTGGCCAACTACTGGAAGCGAGCCCTAGCTTGGAGGGCCCCGGCGGGGTGCCACCGAGGTCCGGGGGAGACTTGCCCACAAAGTTTGCCCCGCCACCGGCGTTTGATGAGCGGGTCGCTTAACACCTGGAGATTAGATTTGCCCGGCTTCACTGCAGGCTGACTCCAAACATTGCTTTCCCCGCAGTTTCTGTCCGCCTTCAGTTCTGCATCGCTGCAGCTGAATGCTTTTAATCCACGACAGAAAACGGGTGGCATAGCGCAGTGTGGCTCCCCCTTGCCTTGCCTTCCGTTCCGAACCCGAAGCGCGACCCAAACCTACACCCCAAAACCCAAACCCCAAACCCCTCGCTATAAACGGTGAGTACACACAGCCGGGCCTCGGTAAACTGTAAACAGAGTGTACGTGGTACACCGGTGGTACACTGCACCCGACCGCGCTGCAGCCCGCCACGCGCCGCGCGCCGCCACGCCGCAGAACACCTGATGGAATATTCATGTTGTGCAACCGCGCCCCTGCGACCCCGCCTCTCGTTTGGGGGGGGGGGGGCTGCGTTTTGCAGAGGTGTGCGTGCGGTTGGCGTTGGCGGGGCACTCAGCCAGAGGACGACGCCCCGCGCCGCGAGGGAGGACTCACTAGGAAAACCAAAGGACGCGAGCAAAAAGTTAAAAATCAGTCTGTTTGTATGGTCTGTATCGTCTGTTTCAAAAAATCAAAAATAATTAAAAATTGAAATTTTTATGCTGTGAACTAGTGAGGCCCCCCACCCCCACCCCGCGACCCCTCGAGGCAGAGGTCGCCGAGGTTGCATTGATGGGGGCACGGATAAGGCCCGGGGGGTGAAGGGAGGTGCTGCAGGAAGGGGCCGGGGTCGGGGACCATTGTAACTGAGATGGATGACGCCCCTGAGGGAACTTAGCGCGCGCGCTGTGTGCAAAACAAAAACAAACCCCGGCTACCCAGACCCGCGAGCAGTTCATTAGCCTGCCGCTCGCTTTTTCCACCCCCCCCCCCACCTATTTGACCTATTTGAGCTGTTTGACCTGCTCATCTCCGCACGCCACTGCTTTGAGTCGAGGTGAATGGTGAGGCCGCGAGTGTACAGTCGGGCATGACCCCTTTCCTGAGGGTGAGGCCTTTATGTCGACCGCCGCCCTATTCCCGATTGGAAAGGCCGGGGAGTCCGCCGTCACGACGCACCGCCAGGGCATGGCCAGGGCATGGCCAAGGCGGGGCCATAAGGCGCGCCTCCACCCGGACGACTCAATTCGCCCCCGCGGCCTCGCCGGCCTCGCCGGCCTCGCCACGTAATGACTCTTCTTCATAAAACGGACGCGCCGTTTCGGCGGTCGAGGGCCGACGAGGCCGACGGAGCCACCAGCGCCGCCAGCGCCGCCGTGACGCAATATGCGGACATAAGGACATAACGGCGGTATTAAACGATGGCCGGCGCGGGCCAGGCAGGGCGACCACCATCTTTATGGCCGGTGGCCTCCCCGGAGGCGGCGGCGTCTTCCCCGCGAGTCCACCGCGGCCCCCGGGGACGGACGACAGTCCTCTCCGACGCGGTTCGGCGGCCCGCCGCCAGGGGGCGCCACCGCGCGGCCACACAGGCCGCCTGCCGCTGGGGTGGCGAGCTTCGTGCGAGCGCCGTGCGAGAGGGACGCGGCGACGCGCTCCGCCGCGCGTGCGAGAGAGACAGCCGGCCGATCAATATCGGGGCGCGTGCGGCGTGCGCGCGCACCGGGTGGCGCCCGCCGCCGCGACGCCGTCCTGCTCGCACCGCCACAGCGCCCCGGCCTCCATCTGCCTCTCTCTCTCGCTCCGCCACCGCCCCTCGCCACCCCCACGGCGGTCGTGTTGTTGGAGCAAGTGCACGGGTCACTCTGCCCTCAAACATGTCGACCGAGTGAACTTCTCCGCGAGTACGAGGTTTCCCGCGGCGAGGTCGTCCGTGCTCGGGGCGGTGCCTTGATCGCGGTGCTCCGGTTCGAGTGCTACCCGAAGAAGGACGCGGCCTCTTGTCCGAGAGAACCGCCAGGTAAGGCAGACGCAGCGACGGGCTGAGGGGCGCGACGTTTACCTGGACGGCCGCCATCTTCGACCTCATCAAACTTCAAACAACAAAAACAAAACATTTCCACGGTCGTTTTTTAACCTTTTCGCTCGTTCCCGAGACATGTTTGAGTTTCCGACGGTGTCTTTGAAGCACTGCTTTTACAACAGATACATGGGACGTGGGTGGAATCCGATGTCACTGCGTTTTGAGGTTAGATCGCCTCTGTCACCAGCAGCAAGAGTCTGACCATGAGAGGCCACCAGATTTTCGCACCCGTGTATTTAAGTTACTATCCTCGCTCCGTTGTGACTTTGCACGAAGTCAAGCACGGAGGATCATATCAGGGAAAGTGACTTCCCTCCCGGGCGATTAAGTTTGACCCGATACTCGACCCCTGTGGCCTCCTGGACCCCTTGGACTGCTCCTTGCACTACCGTGTTGATGTTGTTGGGAGGGCATCGCCGCTCGCGCCGTGCTTCGCTGGGACGGCAATTGCACTGCGGCGCACTGCGCTGCGCGTGGCCTCGTGCTGCACGGACTTGTTGCGGTGCAGCGGCGCGGCGGCGAGTCGAGAGCGGCGAGCGCCGTGCGGGTAGGCAACTCGGCCGCAGCTCCATGCACCGGGTGGCCTACCCCATCGTTCGCAGGGGCCGTGGCTCGCCGGGGCGCCGAAGACGCGGCCGCTGTTCCTGCTTTCGCGCGCGTTGTTGCTGTTGAACGTCATGGAATGTTGTTGTTGTTGCTGCAGCATGAGCGTGGAGATGCTGCTGGCGCTGAACGCGTCGTGCGCCGAGTGCGACTCGCTGGGGCCGCCGCCGTCCGCCATCCTGACGCTGCCGCCGCCGCCCATGCCCGCCTTCCTGAGGGCGAGCAGTGACGGCGCGGCGGACGGGGACGCGCCCTGCGACCCCCTGCAGGGCCTCGAGGGGCTGACGCTGACCTGCGACTGGCCGGGCGGCCGCGCCGGCACCCCCGGCGTGGAGTTCGTGGAGCTGCCCCGCCAGGTCGGCGGCATGGGGGTGAACGCGGACGACGACACGTGGTTCATGGTGCTCGTCTCGTGCTGCGCCGGCGTCATCCTCCTGGGCGCCGTCCTCGCCGTCGTCCTCATGCGCTGCCGACAGTAAGTCTTTCTCCACGAGTGCGGGAGACCCAGGGTGACAGTCAAAATGCAGGTCGTCTGACGCAAGTGTTCTGTTGGCGCTTCGCAGGGGCCGCGGCAGCAAGTGCGTGCTGTCCCTGGACCCGTCCGCCCTGGACGGCCACGGCGGTAAGTCGTCCAAGCTGGTGGGCGTGCACGGCGAGGTGCTGTACCCGGACCCGCTGGCGCTGTGGGCCGCGCTCACGCCGTCCGGCGGCACGCAGCACTTCGTGGGGGCAGCGCAGCTAGCGCAGCCCGTGGCGCCCCCACCCCACCTGCAGCTGACGCAGCGCCACCTGACGGCGCCGTCGCCGACCCCGCAAAGGGCCTCGCCACCCGTGGACCCGCAAGGCCTGCAAGACCTGGCCGCCGCCGAGCCCGAGTACGCCATGCCAGCTATGCCCGCCCCCGCCATGCCCGCCATGGCGGCCGCGCTGTCCGCCGGGCCGCCCCCGCTAGAACCGCCGCCCCCGCCGCCCGTCCGCGTCGCCGCCTTCGCCCCACCCCCCGCCCCGCAGCCCCACAGCCACTCCCAGCCCCGGCACCACGCCAAGCCCAAGCACGTCCACATCAACAAGATGGCCACGGTTAGTCCTCGCTAGTACCCTTGCCTTTTCTCTCATTGTCAAGCCTGAGCATCCTCTGCCTGAAGTGCCTTGCTGATGAGCGATTCCAAGACTCTAACCCATTTCCCTGCCCACAGCTGAGCCATGCGTCCCACGCCGCCAACCTGGGCAACCTGGGCGCCATGATTGACACCAGCAGCTTCGACAACTCCGGCTTCGTGGACTCGGACGACCAGCTGCTCTGCGCCGACGCGTACCCGCACCTCAACTACTACCACACGGTGGGGGGCAACCGGCGCGCCGCCGCAATTCACAGCGTCATGGCAGCTGCGGCGCACGGGGCCCACAGCAGGCCCAAGGTGTCCTCGCCGACGCACATCGCCAACCCCAACATGCCGCCGCTCAACCTGCACCCCACGGCCAGCATGGCCAGCATGCACGGCCACGGCGCCATGCCGGGCGCGGCCAACGCGGCCAACGCCCACAGCAGGCGGTCGCTGCGGCGCGCGGGCCGCGAACTGCGCGAGGCTCGCGAGGCAGCGCGGGAAGCTCGAGAAGCGCGCCACGCCGAGCGAGAGCGACTGCACCACGCCAGTAACGGCTCCATCGCCCTGTGAAGCGAAGCGCTAACCATCTTCAGCTTCGAGTTCCTCTCTAGCCTTCCCAGGGAAGCAGCCTCCGATAAACCAAGGCGCAGAGAGAAGCGGGCCTGCAGGCCGGGATTCGAACCCGGGTCCTTTTCATGTCCTTATCCTCTCAGCCGATTAAAAAATTTAATGGGACTGACCCGGGCTTGAACTCTGAGCCTTACAAATGTCTTGGCCCAATTTGGTTTTACATCACGAAATTTGTCATTGTTTTCATATCGAGGGACGATGTGTTGTGACTCGTCGTACCCTCCCTTTCATTCTGTCCCCTTTGTCTTAGGAAGCACTTCCACCGGCCGGGTGGGGGTGCCGCACTGGTGCTGTCCAATGCCTTAGGCGAAATATGATACAAACCCTGCATGAAACAAAAAACACCAAAGTATTTAGTTCCTTCTCATTGTTTTATTTGTGAGTGTCCATTTACAACTTTACAAGATTTTGGTGCTTAAGGACTAACAGCTATTGAGTAGTTTCAATTATTACAATTAGAAGCGTAAGTTATAGTTGTATTTGAGTTTAAGTTTGGCTTTTTTCTGTTTTGTTTTCTTTTTAAAAATAAAAATTAGCAGATGAATCTTTCCCATCAGCACTTCTCCAAACAAGTTTTGAACCAAATGAAATGAGCTTGGCATATGGTACTAGTCAGTGTTGGTGAAGTGCTGATGCAAGGAGAGGCAAGCGCACAACAGTCTGTTTTTGTTTTGCTTGCTTCTACATGTAAATGTGATATTAATGGAATGTCTTGTGATGCAGTAAATTCTCCAGGTTAAGGCAATCATTTCTCAAGGAATAAAACAACAAAGCGAGTTACAAGTACCCTAAATTTTTATTAACAAAAATGAATGTTGGATTATTTTGGCATTCTACTAAAATAAGTTGCCAATTGTGATTAAAACTGTAAGTTATTAGGCACAGCATTTCATAAAGAAAACATGGTGAACACAATTTTCCATGATAACTGGTAAACTGCTTGTCACAAGACTATTAAGGTTCTTTTAAGTATGTTAAACTTGAATTTCAATGCATAATACTCAAAGCGTTTTCAAGGTCATTGAGTTATCAAGTATTAGTTTGATGGCATGTTTTGGTTTTGTCATGACATCTTTGTTGACTGAAAATTTGTTGAGTTTTGGTAATTGTTTGATTGAACAATTTAAATTGGCTAATGCTCTCATGTTAAGTTATGGTTATTATTATTTCATGTTACTTTACACTTCGTAAAATAATTTGCTTAAGATGTGAGCAAGTTTCAACCTTGTCACTACACTAAGATATTGTCTTCATAACTTCAAGTGTAACCGTTTTTATCAGCAATAATAAAAACTTTTTGTATAAGAAAAATTAGTCCTTTTTATACAACAGTAATACATTGAGTATACACACAGAAGTCACTGCCCTAGCCAGAAATTCATGGAAAGACAAGCACATTTGAAGTGACAGACAAAGTGAAATTAAAATCTTTTGATGTAAAAATGCAACATAGTATGTAACATGAATGGTTATGAAATCTGACACATCATGGCCACTGTCTCAAGAAAGCCTCTCAGTACCACAGAATGAGCAAAGAACTGAACAAGATCAAAAGAAATCCACAATTTTCACAACAAAACAACAAAGAGAGACATCACAATTTTCAAACACAAGCATCAAGACTTTTGTTCCAAAGTCTTAATGATGAAAGCAGTCTACTCAAAAATAAGAATCTGACAAAGGAGCAGCAAGGAATAAAACAGCTCTTAAATAGTGAAACAGAACAAATAAATAAATCAAAACACACAAAGTTGTAGCTACTGTTCAGTCACATAGAGGATTTAAATTGCTGGGGCAATATCACAATGCTCGGAAAACACATCAAAGAGGATTACTCCCCGAAGTTTAAAATTGCTTCATGAAAAACACAAATATGTACCCGGACAATGTACTGAAGTTTCAGACATTGCTCACATAGCTTCCACCATGACATTTTTCGATGGACTTGAACTTTCTCCCTTGTCCTTGCTGTCTGTTTCTGAAGGCATATCATCCTGGCCACGCACTTTGATGTTGTATTTTTCCTTATATTCATTGATGTCCTTTCCTTTCTTGGTAATTTGTTCATTGTAGTCCGTTATAACCTTGGTGATCTGAAACAGAATACATAGGAAGCGGTCATAAATAAAAAATGCCAATGCACAGTGAAAAGAATATCTCGAAACGAATTGACTGCTCACCGAATCTCTCTTCAGTGTTAACTGAGGCAGAACTTCTTTGACAGTTCGTTCACAGAGTACGCCACCGATCAGCTGGAAACATTTCCGGTCACCATCCAAGTCTTTCATGGTGTCAACCACAATCCTGCAAAACAGATAAGGAATCACATACAGTTTAACGTATTAAATGAGCAAAAATGAAAAAGATCAGAGCGTATTCTAGGTTATAACCGGCCGCAACAATAGCTTAACGTTAAGTGTAGCAAATGAAAAATACAAAGTATGAAAGAAATTAGAGCGTCGGGGTCAAAGTAATAGTAGGGGAGTGTGAAAAGAGCCTTGACATAGAACCGTCACGGAGATACAAAGGGTAAATAAAACTGAATCTCCGGGAGCATGGCGAACATTGAGGCGTTAACGCAACAACTTACTTGTGCTCACTAAGGTCAAGCTCGAGCTCGGACAATTTGGTGACGAGAACACGTTGTTCATTCCGTAAAGTCTGGAAGCCATTGTATATTTCTTCCTGAGTTGGTGTTTTTCCTTTGGAAGTTTTCGGCTTACTCTCACCGTCGGCCGCCATGATGACTAAAGCTACAAAACAAAAAAGAAAAGGAGAAAAAAGTAAGAAGAAGACAGATGAACAGCGATCCGGAAGCGGATACGGCCACAGAGCTCCGCCTACTAGTTTGGAAACAGCGCTTTCAAAATCAACATTCAAGACGATGCTTGGCTTTCAATCGAAATGTTCCTGAAATGTTCCTGTACGTCCGTTTTGAAGTCATTTCTACTGGAAACTATGTCAAAACACGCTTCACAAAATCAATTTCGACAGCCTTAAGTAACTGAGACAACTCATTTCAAAGGTTTCTCTCCGATTCCGTACCTTCGTAAACAATGTGATTGAATGTGCCATAGCCAATCAAGAGTCCCTATGCAGTCCTGTACATTGAAATATTTTTTGCAGGGGTTTAGAGAAATGCCGCGATCTTGCAGTGACGGTTATTACTTACAGCTCATTTATGAGGTACTGTCATCTCTTGGCACTCTGAAATATTTATGCAATTTTGGCTGACAAATTTTTATTATTTATAGTATCTCCTGCACATGGGACTAGAAAGCACGGCTACAAATCTGAGGGAAGAATGCAGATCTTGTGATTATCCAGCACCAGAAGAAATCAGTGGTGTCCGAAGATGTGACATCACTAATTTGTTACAACGGTTTGATGAAGAAGATGAGGCTGGATTTTTACGGGTAATGTGAATGGGACAATTTTAATTCGCTAGCATTGCAATAGCTTTGCTTACCATTTTCTAAACTGTTATAAAATTTAATGAAACATGTTTTGTAGATATTAAATCAAAGCATTCCACTTCAAGCTAGAAGTTCCTATGAAGGAAAAAAAATGATAGCTGACCTGCTAGTTTATTTTGCTGCATTGTCTCTCTTGAAAGACGGCAGTGACCAGGCAGGAACTGTGTGGATGAAACCCCTTGTGCATGCTCCACCAGCCCTATTTCAAAATTGTGAGCCAAAATCCATGAGCACATTAATGCCCAGAGCCATTCAAGGAAACCGATCTCACACTAGTACTAATTCAGAAACCCTGGAAAGAACAGAACTCTGTAAATATTGTGGTCAAAAGTCATGCACGTGTGAAAATTCAGTAAGTTTCCTCTTGTTTTATTTCACAGCCTATTTTGTGCATGCTATAAAAAATAAGTTGATTTTCTTTTTTAGGAGGAACCAGAAATTGTTGTAAGAAGGCCGTCTCAGTGTTCAGAAAACAATCGGCAAAGATGTCCCATACATCCTTGTATGAACACATTACAGGAGTATCTCGATACTGAATGTTCCAATCTCAAGGATGATCCCTATTTTATACCCTATTTTGCCCTTCCATTCACCTCTAGCCCTCAAACCCATTACCAATATAAACACATTTTCCAGGTAAGTTTGACTAAAACAACTTAAAATTTTCAAATAAATTTAAAGGAAAAAAGATTTTAAAAAAAATGCTGCAGGGATCGTGGCCTAAAGGCCTAAGGAGAAGATTTTGGGAGTTTCTCGTCCACCACAGACAAGCTGCTGGTCTCCCCGGTATTGTCCGACTCCTACCATCATGTGAGGTATTTCGTGCACTTATTTTAAGTGTTGTAATTTGGCAGATTTTCACTCCATATTAATTTTTCTGCCTCAAATAACTTTGGCCCTGAGATAGTTGTGTGCACCTGCAGGTACAAGTTGCCCAAAGTACTCTTTGGAATAACTTTTTTCCGGTCATCTAAATATTACTGTTCCTATGTCATTTATGTTTTGCTGTTCCGTGATGAAGGACATGAATCCATCTGATACCCGGTCCATACACGATGAATCCATCTGCTTGTCAGAGCACACAATTCAATGACAAGGTACAAGCTACAACACCTGTGGTTTTCACTAATAGTTTGCCAATATAAAATTTTAGAATCGTATGCAGTTTTCTAATGGTTTTGGATCTTTAAATGTAAATTTAAACATTAAACAAATTGCATTCCATCACCCGTCTCTGATGTGTTCTTGGAAATAAGAGCTCGTTATCTCGTTCTTCTTCAAACCACACCACACTGCACCTCCGACTGTTTGAATTTGGCGGTATTGCGTTGAGATTGAATCTCTCATACTGCTCGTAGTGCCTCAATTTGTCATACTTTGAAGAAATCACAAATGGCTGCGATTGTGAAAGGTTTGTATCTGTCACATGACATCCACTTATTTATTTCGTAGTTTTAGTCTAATTTTGAATGTGCAAGAGAATTGTGAATTGAAAATGTGCGCTGCTGTTTGCTAACTTTGATACTTTTAATCGTTACCCTTTGTAACATTGTTTTGTACACGTACACAAGCGTGTATATTTGTCTTATGACTGCTCCCTAGGTGGTCTTTTTTATCAAATTATTTTATTTACAGATGCCGGTGAAATTTGGTCACGTCTCTTTGATCATAGGCCTTATCTAAGTGGTGAGATTAAGTACTTCTTACGTGAATTTGAGGTAAAGCCATGTAGATAGTGTCCATTCATTTTAAAATTAAACTATCTGGATGTCCCTACGTATTTCGGAGCTTTTTTCTTTTTTGGCTTTCAGGAAAAGAGGCAGGATCGGGAAGTTGAGAGATTATTTGTTGTGTTGGAAAGAGTCACTGAGATTCGAGACACTCAAGTGGATCGTCTGAAGCAGAGCAGCGATGCCTTCCTTCCAAGGCTCAACACCAACCTTGATGCAGCACTTAATATGTGCAATCGCATGATAAAGAGTGAAGAAGAGCACCTTGCGGTATGCTTCCATATATTATTTTCTCGTAAATGCAGAGGGATTTGTTTGTAATATTTTCTGTTCCTTCCAGGACACTAGTTTGGAGTCCAAGAGAGCACTGAGGAAGGCTGACTGGGAGAACTTCATTTCTGATATGGCTGTGCGTTGCTCCAAAGTGGACACTACTTTTCAGGAAAAAGAAGAGGAACTTCGAGAGTTTTATCAGGATCTTGAAACCAAGCTCCACATTAACAAATAAACATTTTTGTGTTTCGAGCATTATCTAATCCGTGACTATGGCTGAAGAAAGCACTATCAAAATTTCTCCCTCTGAGAAATTAAAGGACTTCATTCGAGAACACCACAAGGAATGGGAAGATGTGCCTGAAAGGATCAAAGCCGTTTCCAACCCTAACGTTCCTGTACGTAAGCGTGGCGGAAAGGCTGCCCTATCCCTGGCTGTACCTGACCCATCACCTTTCCTGCATGTTGATGACATGAACTGGTTGAATACCCAAGTCAAGAAGCTGCGAGAAAATGGAGATCAGTCATCAGGTGTCTATCTCCACAAACTGTTGCAGGGCTGTGACATTGTATTGCCTCAGCCTCCAGTCATTGAAAGGTTGGTCTCTTAAATTTCCTGAGACCTCCAATAGAAATTTGCCTTTATATTTTCTTACATTCATTTAAATAATTTTCAGGAACCCAGAACTGGAAGCTAGAGTGCAAAGGTTGAGGAAAGAGCAAGAGGATAGACAATATAGAGCTATGACAAAAAATGTTGACACTGTCAGAATGAGGCATCCAGATGACAGTATTGGCTATCAAAGTAAGTGAAAGCCTCACATCTGGCATCTGTTTCTACCTTTGTTCAACTTTCTTAATTGTTCTTTGTCTTGTTCCAGTGAAAATGCTCAACACTCATATAGTTGCTATTGTGCAATTTATTGTCTCTGTTGGTGCTGGATTTACGTTTGGGTTTGTGGGGGTGCAGTTGATGGTTGGTCCTCTGGACTTTGGCTTTAGACTGCTACTTGGTGTGGCATGTGCCCTGATCATTGCTTTGGCAGAGATTTACTTCCTTGCCAAGAAAATCAGTGAAGATTATGATGACATTCCTCCTTATCCAAATTCACCAGCAAATACAGCTGCTTCTCGTGCTGCCCTATCTACCAGCACCAGTGTTGGGGGAAAGCTCCATGAAGACTAATAATCAAGACTTTGTTTTCACTTGTTATGAAAGTGTTGTATGTTTTGTTTAAATATTCTTAATAAATATGTTAGTAGTGATCAGAAGTAAATGCCATTATTGTTTTGTTGTTCTCTTTAAATGTACTGGTTAATCACTTTAAAATAAAGAGAAAATTTAATACAGCATGTGTTTATTTTGATCACAAAGTGGTTCATTAAAAAAAACAGAGAAACAAAAATTAACTGTCCAGAAGAACACATGAAAGCTTAAATTGAAATTAACAGAGGTACATTAAATAAATGAGAAAAAAACTTTTAGTAATACATCACAAGCATCTTAAGCTCCAACACATTCAACATGACCCAAATTACGTTCAGGATTGAAGAAAAACATATTTTTGTGAGGTGCTTCATGTTGAGACAGAGCCTTGATTATTTCCTGGGATAAAACACCACCAACAATGGCACATGCTGGACTCACTTCAGCAAACACCAGGCTACAAGAAACAGAAAAATCACAAGAATAACAGAGTAAATAGCTAAATGCTGGGAAAAATAATCCTTAAAAAATAGGCACTTACCTCAACAAATGATCAGGCACTTTCTCTGCTGGGACTGACATTTTTGCCAATTCCTCATCTCTCAATTTACAAAGGTCTTCATAATCAGCTTGACGAGATTCTGGGGCTGGGTCTCTCTTCTTGTCAGCACGAAATTTCAGGAGAACTGAAGAAGAATTTATCCAAAATTAACAGTAGTTCTTAAAAGCATAGGAGAAAGTAATTAAAAATATAAAAGAAATTTTACCTTTCATAAGAAAATATGAGGATTCTGACTTCTTCAGTTTTTTAGCATATGGTTCTGAAGTCCAATCAACACTGAGGGCATCCTCCAGAGAGACAAAGGTTTCTGTTCTTTTTACAGTGGTCTTAACTGGTTCAACTTTGGCGCGCTTAGTCTCTGGCTCTCCACCTCCAGATGGCTTGAATTCTGTCACCTCTCTACAACCAAACAAGAAAGGAGACAATAAGATTTTACCTCATGGCCTAGCTAGAATTAAAGTTACAAGACACTTACTCAGCAAATTCATGTTTTTGAAGATCAGCGAAAGTGAACCCAAAGAAGCCAAACACATCTCCGCAGAAGAATTTAATATCTTTGGCGCGGCAAATGTTATCAATACGAAGCAACTGATCATGTGAGCACTTGGTGGCACAAATAGTTTCAAATTCATAGAAGAACTCATCTGGATGGTCAGCAACAGGAGTTGTGTCAGCTGTCACTTTAACCATAGGGTTCAAGTTTTGTGTGCGAGCCAATGATGCCTCAGCTCTCTGTAAGAAACGAAAGACGTAGAGTTGTAGAATTTGACATCACCATAACAAGGCAGCTCAGGTAAGAATTGCACAGCAAAACTTACATTCTTTCCAAGTTGATCACGAGGTACAAGGAACTGTGCGCAAATGTCATCTTGAGTGACAACACCGTCGTCAAGGAGTGTGACAGACTTGACACCGGCTAGAGTGACGTTCTTAGCTACTTCAGCTCCTAGGCCCTTGACGCCAATAATAAGCACTCGAGAAGAACGCAACCTGTCAACACACAAAACAGAAACACCATGAATCAACTGTCAATGCCATTACCCTCAGCAGCCATCACTTTGACTGCCCTCAACATGACCGGTACAAAATGAAAGCATGAATGAAAGTCTAAGAGGAGTGATAAGGTGCGGGATCAAAAACTTTTGAATCAAGAGTTGAATAAACGCAACGAAATTCGATGTCTAACCTCTTCTGCGAGTCGAGTCCCCACAAACGGATCTGTCTGTCGTACTGCTCCGCTTCGGCGTCCGTCAATTCGTTGGTGTTGATTTCCACCATTTTCGAATTCGAAGCCACTTTGACGCGACTTTCACAGAATTCACAGACAACTTCCCAGCGTTCGCTAACGTAACGGTTACACCGCGATGCCGGTTCTGGAAGGAAAGGGTTTGGTTTTGGTGCTCCGCGAAATCGAATCCGAATCGATAGGTGCTCATCGGCCGAATGCGAATACGAATGCGAGACTAGTATGAGAAATACCTCCCAAACCACCGCCAGGCAGTCCCGCCGCACACTGGTGCGCAACGGGCAGGCCTACCCCCGACTTCACAGGCGCGCGGCCGGAGAGCACAAAAGACAACCTTCCGTTTAGGGAGCGTTTTTCGTCTCGTTGGGATTTAAGCGATGTCATTTCCCCTCGCGTGGCTCTGGCTGTCAGTCACCGAACGTATTGTTTTTTTTCAAGTCGGAAGAAGTAGTGTTCTTCTCCAAGCGTCCGCGACCTTTACCGCGCCCAGCAGACTGATTCCGAGAGTCGTTCTCGTCGCTCTGTCTCACACACCCTTACGAGACACCCCCTGAGAGCGAGAGAGACAGGGCGACTCTCGGAATCAGTCAGCAGGGCCTTGACCAGCCCCGGTCCGCGCTTTTACTCTGGACGTGCCTTGTTGCCCCGCGAGTCCAGCCAAGTCCAGCACCTGCAGTGCCCCAGCCCCAGTGCGCGCCAGTCCGGCCGGTCGTTGGGGTTCGCAAGAAGTGAAGGACGCTAGCGGAGCTGGCGGCGGCCTGCCGCAGGACGACACGGAGGCAGTAAAAACCGGCAAACGGACGGGCGTTTAGCAAAGGACGATGCGACTGGCTCCTGGCCTTCCCTTCCCTCGGGGAGCAGCAGCAGGATGCAGCGGACCGATTCCGAGAGTCGTTTTCGTCGCCCTGTCTCTCTCGCACCCACAAGAACGTCCCGTGAGTGCGAGAGAGACAGAGAAGGAGGAGCAGAACGGACGTTCGGCATTAATTTCCCCGAGCGCCGCCCCTCTATTTTGATAAGAAGGTGGCGCGCGCCGCGACCTTCTCGCATGCATCCCGTTTCCAGCCGGAGCGAAATGAAGCGGGAAATGACCCAAAAAAATGTCGGCAGTGTATTGTGAGATGTAAGCAAATAAGCAGCGCGAGGTAGAGCAAGGTGATGCAGAGCGCCCCCCCCCCCCTCCTTCCCCCTCGCCTCGGCCCGCCGCGGTGGCGTCACGTGGGAAACCGGAAACAGTAAAGTGTGCTTGATTAGGCCGCAAGGCACCGCAAGGCTGCCTGCACACTGCCGTGCTGGCCGTGCTGGCCGTGCTCTACGGGGTCGCCAAATTCGTCGCTGGCCTCTCGCCCCGCCTCGGCCGATGAGGGATCTCCGCCGCGACGCGGGGCGCGGGTTCGATCCCGGTCGCCGCCGCCGCGGAGACTCGCGTTTTGCTCCGAAGGGGCTCGCCGAGATTGCTCCCCGGGTTCGACTCCCGGCGGCGGCGTCTCAATTTTATTTACTGACGCCGACCCGCCCCTTTCTTTTCGAGCATGCTCGTTGCGCTTTCCCCCAAATCCGGGCAACTGATAAATAAAACATGCAGATAAAACCGCTTTCAGAAAGAAACGCAAACCCGCAAAAAGAGTGGGCATTGTTCGTCGGCGCATCGATGGCGCGGGTCATTATTCAATGAGGCACTTTGACAACGCTACGCTCGCTACGCTCCGCCTGCTTGCGCAACCGTGTCGTTCGGCACGTGATTTACAGAGCGCACGCGCGGGGCGGGGCGGGGCGGGGCGGCACGCCAATCATCGCGAGAGAAGAAACAGCGTCGCGGCTTCTCACTTTCTTCGCGTCGCTTTGCGTCGCTTTGCGTGGATTAGTTTGTTATTGTCGCGTAATGCCGCCGCACTCGTATCGACGTTGAGCGGGCGGCGCCGACGGAGAGAAGGGGGGGGGGGCGGCACTGGCCCGGGGACGCTGACGCTGGAACCCTAACCCCGCATCACGACTTGGCGGGGCATTTCCGATTTCTTTGCCGTGTCTTCGCTGCCTGCAGTGCAGAGCGCTGCAGAGCCCGCCAGCCTGCCCCTCTCCCGCCGTCGCCCTTCCTCTTCTTCGGGCCTTGTGCATTTTCGATCGCGGCGCTGCGACAAGGCGGAGGATTAGTTTTCCGGCCGGGCGCAACGACCCGCGCAGTGTGGGGCCGCTCTGTCTCTCTCGCGCCGTCTCGCCCCCTGGCGGCACTGCGGGGCGCCCTGCGAGTGCGAGAGAGACGGGCGACTCCTCGGGCAGCCTGCTGGAGTCCGCGGAGGCTGCAAGCCCTGCAAGCCGCCAAGCAAGGATGACGTTTTCGGGAGTCAGCCGGTCCGCGGATCAAACAGTGTGTTATCGAACTGGGCCGCAGGGGTCACGGCGAAGGCACGGCGAAGTCCTGGAGTCCTGGGCGAAGCCAGCGCATCTGCACACGTCCGAGCCTCGGCCGCGGAGCGCGAAGCGACTGCCATTGTTTGTTCGTCCATGCACCCACTTTTTTCCGTGCCCCACTGACTGCACCGCGCTGCACCGCGCTGCACTGCCCGGCGCCCCGACGGACGAGCTCGGCCAGTCGGCAGCCGTCGCATCGGGCGTAAGTATAGGTGTGCGATACGGTGCGCCGCGCCACCGACAAATGTCAGGACGAATCGCAGCGCGTTTGACGACGGTGTGGTGCGAAACCCGAGTGACACCTCCCCGCCCCGCCCCGCCCCGCCCCGCCCCACCCCGCCCCGCCCCGCCCCGCCCCGCCAGGGCGCGTCTCGAGCGTTGCCGACAGAGAGTCAATTACGGATCGTGCACGATTCGGGTTGAATATGAAATCGTAGTAAAAAGCCTGCTGGAGGCGAAGCCAGCGAAGCCAGCGAAGTCGCGCACCGTGAAGACACCACTCCGCCGCGCTGCTCCCTGCCCGGCCAGCCCGTTTAAGACTCATCAGGCAAATTGATAGTTAAGCCGCCTCGGAGACTCCAGATCTAGTGACATCTGCGCGGGAACCATAAACGCTGAAAAAAAAATTCCAGACGACGCGACGTTGTTTTGCAACAACACGCGCGGCTTCGCGGCTTTTGTGTGTAATATTTATTTTTTGTGATGATGCATGCAGAGGGATGCAAAGGGTTTAAGGGCCGAGCGCCCTAAAGCGGCCCACGCTGTGATCAATGTTTAGAGCCCTTTGTCCGACACCGTTCGACACACACACGCGTCGCGATGGCGGTGAGGTAACGCGGCGGGTCCTCTTCCTCGGCTCTCTGTCTCTCTCGCACCCCTACGGCCCCACGGGGCCGGCCGCGAGTGCGAGAGAGACAGAGCGACGAAAGCGCTGCTCCGCATCAGTCCGCTGTCCGTTCCGCACCGCACAGCGCGCCGCACACAGCGGGCCGCCCTCTGTCTCTCTCGCACTCGTGGGCGTGCCCGGCGCGGCGTGGGGGTGCGAGAGAGACAGACTGCCCAGCGGGCCGTCGATCTGTCGAGACGACTGTCGATGATGATTGCCGGCCGACCTATTGGACCATTGGACGGGCTGAGCGGGCAGAGCGAGTACGGACCCTCGGGGCCCTAGCGGCCCGTGCCCGGGGCGTCGGGCTAATGCGAGGTGTGTGGCCTTACCTCCCGGCACTCCCACAGTGGGCCAGAAGACCGGTGGAGGCGGCCAAAACTCTAGAAGCGTTTTGAGCTCCAGAGTCGCTAAATGGGACTCGAACCGAACGTGTGTGACCCCACCAATGGATTCCTCGTTCGGAGTGCAATCCATTGATGGGGTCACACGATCGGTTCGAGTCCCATTTAGCGACTCTGGAGCTCAAAACGCGTCTAGAGGTTTGGCCGCCTCCACCGGTCTTCTGGCCCACTGTGACTCCCCTCTGTCCGTCTCCCTCGCACCCACGTGACCGTGCGCGAGACGGGGCGCGACGACGGCGATGTGCGGAGTCAGAGTGCCGCGGGGTCAGCCGTGGAAATGGAACCAGACTGCTTGCCGCTGCGCGCTCGCCGAGCACACCATGCAGGCCGTGCAGGCCGTGCAGCCCCGGTGAACGTTTCCCGGTTGCGCTCTTCGGCGAGGACCAATAAAATTGCACGGATTCAATATTTTTAAAAAGCTTCAAAGATGCAATTTTTTAAAAAATATTGGTTTTTTTTTAAAAAAAGGAAAATAATCATTAACTTAGAGCCCTGGATTGGAGGGAATTTGAGCTTGTGGCAGCCCAGGCAGCAGGCGCTCGGGCACGCGCAGAGCGGTGCAGGGGCTCGGCCAGAGGTTCACATCAAGGCGTCGGACCGTGTGACGCAGGCACGCCCAGGCACGCCAAAGCACGCGCGTGACCCCGCGGCCGCACAAAGACAGCGACATTTTCCCTGGACGGTCCTCGCATATTATAACGCGCCGTCTGCGAGTGTCTGTCTGTGGTGTGTCTGTGTGTGTGCCTGTCCATGTGTGCCCGCGTGTGGCTCCCATATGAAGTCCTTCGCACATGTGTAATAGACAATGCGCTTCTTGGGCGGGACGCGGCGTGGCGCGGCGGGGCGTCACCGCTGTGGCGGTCGGCCCGGCGCGTGCTCCCTGCTGCTCTCTCTCTCTCTCTCTCTCTCTCTCTCTCTCTCTCTCCTCTCCTCCCTCTCTCTCTGTCCCGGCCTGGAACAACAGGGACACACTGACGCGTCCCTTGCGAGGTCCTTGCGTCACTAAGTGCCCGGCGACTGACGCTTCACTTCGGGGCGGCTGCCCTGCCCGCACTGCCACGCCACTGCCACGCCACTGCCAGTGATGAAAGTGGCGATGGACGTCGGCCGAGTGCTCATCTCAATTGTGTGGCCTTCAGCGCGCCCGGCCTGCCCGGCCAAGCCGGTGCGGTGCGAACAAAAGCCTCTTCCTGGCGAGAAGTCAGCAGTTAATTCACCGCACCAGTTTATCTCGTCATCTCTTTTTTTCGGGCGTTGAGCTATTAGCAGAACCATTCGATGAAAAATTTCACGAAAAGAAACCGAAGCCCCAATGACTTTCCACGGTGGGGTGATTGCGAATCCGTGGTGTTTGAACCATCGATCCAACGCTCGGGGATCGACCGCTTTGCCCACGCGGCCACCGGAGCCTCTCGCGAGTGGCGGTGCATTTGACGGTGCACTGGCGGTCCGGGTGGCCCGCGGT